AGCGATGAGGGCTCCCCTCAGCCTCCTCTGCTCCAGGCTGAACCCCCCCAGCTCCCCCAGCCGCTCCCCAGCAGCCTGGGGCTCCAGACCCCTCCCCAGCTCCGCTGCCCTTCTCTGGACACGCTCCAGCCCCCCCAGGTCCTTCGGGGAGGGGGAGGCCCAACCCTGACCCCAGCCTCACTCCGGAGCCCTAAAATTCAGCCATTGGATTCTGCGCTCTATGTCCCCTTTCCATTGTCTGCAAAGGCAGAGGGGATGGGTTTTTTTTTTCCTCTGAAGTCTACGCTCTGGAAGGGACCGTTCCTCTCCTACCCATGAAGAGAGGCTAGTGTAGCTAGCTAGACCTTGCCAGTTGACTGAGATTTCAAAGCTCCTTGATGCGAATCTCACCATGGCAGCCAAGAGAGGTGCAGTAACCGCCCACTCACGCGTCCTTGCCTGCAGCACATCTTGACTTTGGCTCCCATGAACAAGAAAGCTAGTTCTTCATATTGATTCACTTTTAGGAATTCCTTTGCTCTAATCAGCAAAACAAAATCCCGAGCGTAAGGCAGGTTTGTAGAGAGTGGTAATGTTTTTTTAATTAATCCAGGTATAAACTGTACCCCAAGACAGTTCTTTCATTTATTTGAAAACATTGAAAGCAGCAGGTCCTGGGAAGTAGATGGGTAATCTGTCTTGTATTTAATTTCATTTTCTTATGCCTCCCAGGTTTGAAAATAAGCTTCCCAGAGGTACTTCTGGGAAATCCTCCTGTCATAGCCTATCATTTTGCTGAAATTCTCTCCAGATGGCATTGGTAAAGCTGTGGGTCTCAGGCTTTGGCGTTTACACGATGGACATATAAGCTACATCTGTACAAGTTAACGGAACAGTGCCAGGAGCTGCTCTGTGGTCCTAAGGCCAACTGGAATGGTCTAACCACTTCCATACCATTAAACTCTCGTATTCCCTCAAGCAGGGTGGTTACATGGAAACTGTTCATTAAAAATGATTCCTAGCTGATGTTAACACCTGATCTGGATGCTCAACTCATTTGGGAGAGTGAGTGGTTAAACCAGGCACAGGTTTAATAACATAAAAGCACGCATGTTGGAGTTTCGGTGCCAGGAACGTTCCCCGGTGTTACTTAAACTACCAAGAGGCAAATCCTTCCTGGCCAGCTGCGGTTCCTGGCTCTTCATGGAGGTCCTGGTTCTGGGAGCCCCTTCTTTGAGGTGCAAAAGGCTAATAATTTCCTGCTGTCCACGTGGAGAAAGGGCAGATAAGCAAAGAAGTGTCGGTGGTTATATACACTCCACAACTCTGCTCCATTTCTTGGGGCACAGATGGAATAATTCAAACTTGTTGCCCACGCATAAATGGAGCTTTTTGGGATGCTTTTGGCAAAAGCTGTGTTCTTTGTGATGGCTTCCAGATGTATAAAGAGCTTCCAGTAATAATTTACTACTCTAGGTCAAGTGAGGGCTTCCAAAGATGTAAGACATCATGTCATACTTCTCTTAAGGCTTTTGTCCACTGGCCACAGTCCATCTGTTTGTCATGGAGATGTTGTATCACCATGACATTCCCTACCTTACTCAAAGCTTTTCTGTGTTTATGGCACAGCCTGTCCTGTCATTGCAGACACGTGTCCACTGTAGATCTCATTTACTCATTTAATTGCAGTGTTCCTACGGAGCTGCAAAGCATGCTTCAGAGGCTTGGGAGCCAGGAGCTTGGCTTCTGTAGAGCCAAATTCCACGTTAGCCTGTTGAAACCCAGCAGCAGAAACTACATGAGCAGGCCTAGATGGACGTTGACTTGTCCACCCGTTCCTCATGTAAAAGCTTTGCTACAGCATTGGCTGCTTCTGGCTTCATGGGTGGTGAAGCTGATAGCTGAACGGGCTGCGTGAGCTTAACGGCATCGGGAGGATGGTCAGGGTGTGCAGTCTTGTTAAGGCAAGTAATTGGGGTGGATGTATTAAGGACCAGGTGACCCGCTTGGTAGACGAGGGAAAGGCTGTGGATGTTGTCTACCTAGACTTCAGCAAAGCCTTCAGCACAGTCTCCCACAGCATTCTCGTAGGCAAGCTGGCGGTTCATGGCCTAGATGGGTGTACTCTTCGCTGGGTTAAAAACTGGCTGGGTGGCCAAGCCCAGAGAGTCGTGGTGAATGGAGCTAAATCCAGTTGGCGTCCGGTCACAAGGGATGTCCCCCAGGGCTCAGTTCTAGGGCCGGTCTTGTTTAATATCTTTATCCATGACCTGGATGAGGGGATCGAGGGCAATCTGTTCTATTACATACAATAAATCACTATCTTATGGCCTACCTATACAAACAAATTAAAATAACTATGAATACCACACCTGATTAAATTAACAGTCACCTACCAAGGTGTGCTAGAAAGGACTAGAAGAAGAAGGGCAAGAAAAGTGTCAAGTGAAGGGGGGATCCAGAAGCTTGCACAGATACCTATGAAAATCAAGGTCAAGGTGAATTTGTGACTCAAATTCAAATAGGATATAGTTTTGTGTTATGGAGCATGTCCAGAGGAGAGCAACAAAGCTGGGCAGGGATCTGGAGCACAAGTCTTATGAGGGGCAGCTGAGGGAACTGGGGTTGTTCAGACTGGAGAAGAGGAGGCTGAGGGGAGACCTTATCGCTCCCTACAACTGCCTGGCAAGAGGGTGTAGCAAGGTGCGGGTCGGCCTCTTCTCCCTGGTAATGGATGATAGGATGAGGGGGAAATGGTCTGAAGTTGCACCAGGGCAGGTTTAGGTTGGACATTAGGAAAAATTTCTTCACAGAAAGGGCTGTCAGGCGCTGGAAGGGGCTGCCCAGGGAAGGTGTCGAGTCCCCATCCCTGGGGGGATTTAACAGCCGGGCAGAGGCGGTGCTGAGGGCCAGGGTTTGGGGGTGGGATGGCAGGGGTAGGGGAGTGGTTGGGCTTGATGATCTTGAAGGTCTTTTCCAACCTATGCAATTCTATGATTCTATAAGGACAGGGCGGTCTGGTGCCTAAAGGGTGGTGTAAGTGTTCTCCAAGAACGTTGGAGTTAGGCACAAGGCGGAGACATGGGGGGCTCTGATACGCAGCTGCTTAGATGGGTATAACTTGTTTTGATCACTGGAGAGTTAAAAATCGCACATCTCTGTGTTGGCTCAGCGGATGCGGTTGCACGCCAGTATTTTGTGGGGAAGTATATGCATTAACATCTTGTTGGAACATGCATGTTGGCAGTGTAACAATAAAACAGGCTGAGTTTTTGCTGTTGAAGCAAGCCGATGGTATTCTCCTCAATATAAGAATAGCCATCGGTACGACCTGCCCCTGCACCCGCCTGCACGAGGATCTGAGAGTGCAGAGCCAGTAAGACAAGTGGGTGTGCCAACAGCGACGGGTGAAAACAGCTATTGCAAGGGGGTAGAGTAAGCAGGTGGCTGCAGAAAGTGTCTGCGCAGAAATGTGTTTGCTCTCCTGGGGGGCATTTGACCCTCATGACTGGTTGTGCCTTCACACTTACTGATATTCGGTTTGTATTCTTGGGGTTTGAAACCTGCTGGCAAAGTATTCGCTTGTTCTTGCATCACAGATGGCGACTGAGGGATGGTTTTGTGGTTGCTCCGTGGTTGGGTTCTGAACCCAGCTGCAAGGAAGGGCCCTACCCAGCCTCCTGCTGGGACACGTTCATCATTTCCAGGAGGAGGAGACTGCTGTTGGCTTTCCTGTCACCTCAGCCATTTCCAAGAATGCCTGTGCCAATAAGTTGTAGCACTGATAATCCTGCATGGTTCTTCTTGGTCAATTGATTGCAAAATATCCTACCTGTACCGGTGAAAACCCCCCAAAGCTGTGTCCCTAATGCCCCTGTGTGACTACACAAGTTGCATCACTGCACGTACCGGCTTTGACAACTCAAGAGGTTTGGCTGCTTAAAGGGAACAATGTTTTTTCTTTAAGGAACATCCCTGTCTACAGCAGAAAGAAGCTCTCCTGCTGGGTTTAGGTTGTCCTGCCACTGTGCCTCTCATGTATCCCCATCTAATCATAGAGTCAAGGAATCTTGACTTGGGTGGGAGGGAGTGTTCCAGCTCACCCAGCCCAACCCCTGCCATCAGCAGGGACATCTCCAACCAGAGCCGGTTGCTCCCAGCCCCGTCCAACCTGACCTGGAATGTTCCCAGGCATGGGGCAGCCACCACCGCTCTGGGCACCCTGGGTCA